CCACCAGCCACCCCCACTGCTGCTGCCCCCGCCACCATGAGTGGTCAGCACACCGCCGGCTGCTGCTAGCTTGTGACTGGTGCCAGATGCGCTCGCAGCCGCCGCTGCCGCCAGCTGCGACGCCTGGTGAGCTCCGCCAAGGCCCAGCCCAAGGATCCAACGAGGAAGCCTGCAGGTTGAGGACAGTATTGCTAGGGTTGGTGCATTCTAAACCAAAGGCAAGGCCCCCTGACCAAAACACAGGAAAGAATGCATGCATTCGCAGACAGCCACACCTGAGACTGTCTGACCGCCTCAGCTGCCTGAAGCCTGTGGCGGCTGCAGCCTTGTGCATGCTGTGTCGGCCTGCTGGCTTCTCTTTCTGTCGCAGCTGGGGCACAGAGAGACTGGGCGGCGATGTTGGCTGCTGCGCTGACGATTGGACAAGGACGCTTTCGCCATGCCAAGCGTGCTGACTGCCAAAGTGCTGGACAGGTCTTGAGCCACACAGTGTCTCCACAACTCCGCCTGCAAGGCCGCCGAATGTATCAGTGATCTGCAGCCACCTTTCCCCCAAGGGGCAGCAAGTCCAGTTTCCACACACTTTCTATCATTTGTGCACGAAGAATACTTACGTGTGGCCAAGCCGAGGGAGCCGCCGCGTTCCATGGCACGCTGTGCTGCTGGGTCCACACCGGTGCGGCGCAAGGCAAGGACGCCTTATGTGAACGTGCAGTAGAGAGTGCCAGCTAGTGCCACACGCGCCGACCTCGCGCTGTTGTGTCCACGTCAAATGATATGTTTTGCCGTTGATATGCTGGTGCCGCCAGTAGTACTAGTGTGCTCCTGCAAGCAGATCGCCGACGGGCGGATCTGGCAGGGGGTATTGCGGGTGATAGAGAACGCAGGACACACACCGATTTCAAATGATGTGTGTACGGGGGGCGCAAGCAGCAGCAGCACATGTGACTTGAATGTTACCAGGCGGCAGGGCCAAAGTGTGGGAGAGGCTGGGGTGACCTGTTGTGTCACCTTGAGGCACACGCACGGTGACAGTTTCAGCAGATCCGACCTCAATCAGCTGTTCATGCGAAAATTTCATGGTCATGAAGATGAAGGGAGTGTCAGGTATATGATAGGGCAAAGCAAGCTCTTGACATGACTTGATTCTGCAGTCCGTGGCTCCAGGATTGTTCTGGCGCTGCTGCAACAAGCCAGTTCTTTCGGCTGTAGTGAGCATGCGGCCATCCTTGCAGCTGCATGTGCATAGTTGGGTTATGCTGCAGCTCAATCGGCACAGTCAGCCACTGCGTGGGGTCCTGCCACGTGTCGCTATGCGCACGTCTCAACACCGGCCCACCCTGCGGAAAGTCTCCCGGACTGTCTTGCCGCTACGCACCAGGCAGCTCACAGTGCTTGTTGACTAGAGGTGCATGCAATACTGGTGCAAGGCCAGCAGCTAGCAGCACATGATTTGGTCAGGAGTGGGTTGTGTATGATGAGCCACACCTTGTCTGTTGTACAACAGTCACACGTGGAGATATGGCCTCACGTGTGGCCACCCAAGCCCGTCGCACAGCCACGCATATGCATCTCGGGCAGCTGAAGTGCAGCAGCTGTGTCGGCGGCACCAGACACTTGTCGCGCTTTCTACTGCATACATGTTGAGA